ATACATATTTATTGCTATTCTTTCTTTACATTATAATGTTATACTCAAAGTAATCACAAGGCTGAATGATGCCTCACCTCAACCAAAAATATATTTTATGAAAATTATTTTCAACTCAGAAAGCACACTCATTCTAAAGAACACCTGGTTTTATCAAAGAAAGATGACACACACGACGTAATTCGATTTAGCTCTCATTAGGTGATAAAGAGACAACTTGTAACGCTTTTTGAAACGTTCACCATTCCTCTCCAGGGGTATAAGAACACAATGATCGTGTTGTATTTTTAAGTTTTCGAATGTAAAATAAGGAGTTTAAATATTAAAGTGAAATAAATTTTAAGTTCGTTTGTTGGATTTCACGTAAAGAGACACGAGAATTATCTGTGCTTGTCGTCCCTAACTTTGAAATGATAGCTTGCAGGGAAAGCAGTTAGTTAACACCACCCATCGTCAGCTCTTGAACTGCTCTTTTGAGACTGGGTTCTGGCGGGTCTTGGGTTCGAATCCCCGTCCTACCAAACATGCTCGCCCTTTCAGCCGTGGAGACGTTCTAATGTGACGGTCAATCCTATTATTCGTTGGTAAAAAGAGTAGCCTAAGAGTTGGCGGTTGGTGGTGATGACTACCTGCCTTCCCTCTTGTCTGCTAAATTAAGGACGGCTAGTGAAGATGGCTCTCTTATAGCTTTGTGCGAAATTCAAAACAGACAAAGAAACAAGTCTTCTGAGACCGAATAGCAGGATTTGTCTGTCACTCTTATAATACATCCAAAGTCCGAAAGTGCGGAGTACGATTTCTTATTTTAGTGACAATTAGACACGAGTCACGAAACATCAGCTCTACAGTCTAGCACAATAATCAGTGGGCCACGCTCGGCCCATGAACTTAAGTAAAAAGCATGTATAATAAAGCAATAACTGCCAAAAGGGGTTGATGTCAGAGAAGCAACTACCTTTTATTATCATTATGGAAGCTATTGTGGGTTCATTATTTTGTGAATTTAATGGATATTTAATTGGAAGATGGCGTGTTTTATCCACCAATAAGAGATCTCAAGGATGAGCTGTTTTTATTTCTTCCTGGTGAAAAACGTGAATTGAATCGTACAAAGTTTCACGATCAAATAATAGATACGAAAAATAGCTTCGCGTGTTCATAAGACAGTAGCATACAAACATCTTTATAGATACTTACATACAAATAACATATGGTGGTCAAAATATCATTCAAAATATCTAAGGTTCAAGTATTCCGCTGAAATTAATTTATCCCTTCTTATGGTGATGTCATTACTTTTTCTACCTGCTCAACCAATCATCAACATCTAAATATGAAATTAAACTTGTAGTAAATGGTTAGAAAAGCTAAGCTTTTAAGCACTGTAACGGACTGAAATAACACGCTGTTACAACCAGGGTTCAACAAAAAACAATTTATTAAACTGTAACAACACTTGGAATAAAAGTTAGCACGTTCCAAAAGCACAGTTAATAAATACGTGCATGTCCAGGACTTGATATAAATGTTAATTAACAATAAAACATAAATATCAATATTAATCATTTCAAATAATGGAATCAGGAAAAAGGAACCAGAAGAAAAAAATATATAATTCCAAAAAAAAACACAACATTCCAAAAAAATATTTCTATATTAATAACAATATTGAGTGTCAAATAGCAATAATTATTTTTCACTAACTATCTCGGGACTCCGGTTATGAAGCTGATGGCAGGATATTTATTCATTCCGTTAGGTCACGAGAATACATCTCATGTGATTATAAATGTACATAATCTTCTGCAACATTAATAATATTTATACGTCATCGCTAGGGAAGCTGGTGTCCGTTTCATAATTCATACGTATTTACTCAAAATAAACGTGATCAGCTAGAAGATGAATTAGCGTTTTAATGTAAACAAATATTCGTAGCTAAACTAAACGATAGAATGAATAATAAATTAACGATAAACAAAATCATAACAAAAAAATATAAAATTCGCTATTTCACAGCATGTGTGTGTGTGTGATTGCTTAATAATACTATTATAGATATAACATAGAAAATGATTTTGTGTTATTTTAAAGTAGCCATCTAAGTTTAACTCCATCTATGTATAATAGGAAAAGAGCGTGTCTGTGGGTCGGTGTGTGTGTGACCGTCATAACTCCAAGAGGAAAGAACCAAGACACCTGAAATTTTGCACCTATACTAAGTGGACCCCGAGGGTGTGCACCTGGGTAATATTACTTATCCATGTGCGTGTGCAGGTGTGCATCTTTTTGTGTGGCAAGCTAATGAAAAACCTCATAGGAAAGAGTATGAGACCTCCATAGCACCAAGAGCAAAGAACCTAGAAACCTGAAATTTTGTACCCATACTAAGTGGTCTCTCAGGGTATGCACCTGGGTATTATTACTTAACTGCGTGCGTGCATGCATGCACGTGCACATCTTTTTTATGCGAAAAACTACATAGAAAAGAAATGTGTCCGCCATAGAATGTTAGAGTGTTTTAATTATTATGGGATGTTATAGTGTTTTTCTTTAACTATTATAGTGGTTTGAAAACTATTATGGGATGTTATAGTGTTTTTCTTTAACTATTATAGTGATTTGAAAACTGTTATGGGATGTTATAGAGATTTATTAATGAATCAACTAAAGCAAAGTATCGTAAATCCCTGAGATTAAATTTCTGAGATTTATTTAGTACTAGTGAAAGTACCCGGCTTCGCTCGGGTTATTAGGTTGATTTATTCTGGATCTCAGTGTATGTATTCTGAGCCCATTTTAACATAAATGTAGAACCATTGTTGCTCCTTTACAGGATGTGACCTGTTTATAAAGGTAACCTTCCCTCTGACTTTTCCTCCGATTTTAAACTTAAATAATAAAAACGAATAATAAAAAAAACAAGCCTTTTTTATTAACGGAACCTCTAAATTAGAAAACAA